TTCGCGAAATTTTGCTTAATTTATTTTCGCGAAATATTGCAAAATTTTTTTCGAAATGCGACAGAAATGTTTTGCATATTTTCGCGAAATGTTTCGTTCGCTGGAAAAATCACTCTCCTACCTGTTCCACAACTTGATGTCAAAAGAACTATTTGAGAGCCTTAAAGTTTGGAAACAAGAAACAATAAAATTCAGGATATGGAGTTTTTAACCGTAATATGGTTTTTACTTTTGACAAATTTTTACTGATCCTTCTTTAAAATAACCTCCATATGAATAGCAAGACATATTCTGATGTATACCATGGACATGTACTAATTATACCTAGACATGTACTTATGTATACCTAGACATGTACTAATTATACCTAGACATGTACTTATGTATACCTAGACATGTACTAATATATACCTAGACATGTACTGATGTATACCGTGGACATGTACTAATATATACCAAAACATGTACTAATATATACCTAGACATGTACATATATATACTTAGACATGTTCTGATGTATACCATGGACATGTACTAATTATACCTAGACATGTACTGATGTATACCGTGGACATGTACCAATATATACCTAAACATGTACTAATATATACCTAAACATGTACATAAATATACTTAGACATGTTCTGATGTATACCTAATATATACCTAGACATGTAATAATATATACCTAGACATGTATTAATATATACCTAGACATGTACTAATATATACCTAGACATGTACTAATATATACCTAGACATGTACTGATGTATACCTAGACATGTACTAATACATACCTAGACATGTTCTGATGTATACCTAGACATGTACTTATGTATACATAGACATGTTCTGATGTATACCATGGACATGTACTAATATATACCTAGACATGTACTAATATATACCTAGACATGTACTAATATATACCTAGACATGTACTAAAATATACATAGACATGTACTAATATATACCTAGACATGTACTGACATATACCTAGACATGTACTGATGTATACCTAGACATGTACTTATGTATACCTAAACATGTACTAATTATACCTAGACATGTACTAATGTATACCATGGACATGTACTAATATATACCTAGACATGTACTGATGTATACTTAGACATGTACTGATGTATATTTAGATGTGTACTAATGTATACCATGGACATGTACTAATATATACCTAGACATGTACTGATGTATACCTAGACATGTACTGATGTATATCATGGACATGTACTAATTATACCTAGACATGTACTAATGTATACCATGGACATGTACTAATATATACCTAGACATGTACTGATGTATACCTAGACATGTACTGATGTATACTTAGATGTGTACTGATGTATACCATGGACATGTACTAATATATACCTAGACATGTACTGATGTATACCTAGACATGTACCATTTTACATTATAGAAATAATATTTTTTTTATTCTTAATTTTTTTGGCCAGAACAAACGCGAAAGTGTACTAAGATGTGTTCATATAATGGCTCTCAGTGTGGAAAAATTTCTTCTTTGCTACCAACATGTTGGAAGATCCTGTTTTTTAGGCCTATGGTATCTAAGGTAGAGGGGTATCCAATTCTTAAAAATAAAAAAGTGAACACTCACTCTTAATATAGAGGCAGGGACGGATACAGATATCTAGCAGGGGTTAGCGAAACTTGTAACGCACGTTTTAATTTTATTTGAAGTAAAATAACAGCATTTTTTAATTGTTTAATGGTTGCCTCTGTGCTCAATAATATACCAAATTCTTTTAATATTCATGGCTTGTTCTTCTGAGGTTGTTGGGTTTTGTGTAACCTTAAATGATATATGTATTGTAATACTCACGATAAGTAACCATACAGGTCTTTTTTAGAAGATAAGAATGACTGACTTTCTTTAAGTTGGAAACGAGAGAAAAGTTAGAAATGATGCGCGAAGCGCCAAAGAAAAATTTTGCTAATTTTTTCTTAATTGGCAAAATTTAAAAAGATGGTCCACAATCATGATCATGCTGGAGTCAAGGGGGGGGGGCGAAACTCTTTTTGCCACCCCTAGTTGCGCCACCGAATCATTACATCACATCGCATAAATATCTCTTTGTTAAAAGCCATTGAAGTCAAAATACTAAATTTAGCGCGAAATTGAAATTAAAACAAGAAAAAACTACTAAATTCTTCACTCTTTTATTTTTAACAAGATAGAATGTATTTAACTATTTTAGAATTTCAGAATTTTCTCTATTTTCTGTCGTAGCCCATCTTGGAGAGCTATCAGCTATTTCGGCAGGAGGTTTCTATCTGTATTTTAGTTTTGGGTCGCAGTCTAAAACCATTTTCCAAATTTGTTATTGAACAAAACCTTAACATAGTACAGTAAATGATTAAATATGTTATCTAACATTTTGTGAACGATTTTATTTAGATTACACATGAAGCTCTTGATTCCCCTTTACGTGAGATTTTCCACAAATCATAATAAATCTTTTTAACTTTTTAGTTCTAGTATTTTTGGCTTTAGTTTACGCACTCTTATTTCTGGATTTTTACCAGAAACTTCTACTTTAAAAAATTAGCAATAAGACACCCAGCTTTGGCTGGAATTTAACCATCCCGACTTAGACTTGTTGAGCGATCAATATTCCAGTGGTTTTTCCAAGTACAGGGTGTCCCAAAAAACATGGGAATTCAGTGACGAATTCGATATCGTCTTTGTTATGAATTAGCATTGTAACACCTAATTTCAAAAGCCATAATATTATTATGTCTGCTAGAGTTTATTTAATGAAAAGGGTAAAAGACTAAAGATGTGTCTATAATGTCTCCGCAAGATGAACAGTGAATACGGACAAGTTTACTCTGTTTGTATACTGTAATTTTCTTGTTTTACTATGTACAACCGGTTGCAGTCAAAACATAAACAAACAAAATGTAAACATAGCAGACGAAACTCTTACAGATTACAGCTTTCTCAGTAGGTATCACTATACTAAATCAAAGAATTATTTGAAAAGACGATATCGAATTCGTCACTGAATTCCCATGTTTTTTGGGACACCCTGTACTAAAATCAAAATGTGAGACAATTTGGTCATTCAGTTATGACCAGAGAAACAGACCAGTCAAAATAAGATTACTATGTACAATAAATGCTTTAATTAATTCTCTGTATTCAGGGTGAGTCTAAAATAAGTGTGATTTGCCGAGCCTGGTGCAAAATTGTACCTTATTTGTGCAAATGTCCTGTATGGTGTTTTTTCAATATTTTTTGAAAATTTGTAACTTTTTTTGGTACTCCAATCGCCCAAGAAAAAAATCCGCGAACCTTTTTTTCTCTAAAAATCAAAAGTTCAGAAAAGCAAAAATGTTTTATAAATTATTTCTATCGAAATCTAAAATTTTAAAAAGATTGAATCACAGAATCATAAAAAATTCGCAAAATTGTAAAAAGAAAATTCGCAATTTTTAGTTCTGGTCTTTTTTTAAGAAAAAGTTAACTAAATTCTCTAGTTCCTTTCTTTTTAAAATTTTGGATTTCGATCGAAATAATTTATTTACACATTTTTGTTTTTCTGAACTTTTGATTTTGAGAAAAAAAAAGTTCGCGGATTTTTTTTGGGCCATTGAAGTACCAAAAAAATTTACAAATTTTGAAAAAACACCAATCAGGAGAGTTGCACAAAAAAGGTACAATTTTGCACCAGGCGCCACAAATCACACTTTTTTTGACTCACCCTGTATGTCTTAAGTGAGCTCAAAATATTATAAATTTAAAATACTTCAACAGAACGCTTTATTTTCTCCAGAATTTTGTTAGTGAAGTCTTTCTTCATCGATCTTGATCAACATATTTATCTCAAAACCGTGAAATTTTTTAAAAAATGGAGTTAAATGCACCAATACAATTATAAATAAACCAGAACTGAAAACTTTTTATTAATACAAGATCATCCGAGCTGTAAAACCACTATAACGATTTAGCATTTCTTCAGAGATAATCAAAATCACAATTAAAACTTTCACATTAAAATTTAAATCAATCTTAATCATGTCAAAGTTTCTCTAAACTCAAGAGGTGTCCAAAATATGCTTAAATGTTTAGATGTTGCCACTGTTATACATTTAAAATTAAGATGAATTTCTCGGTACTCGGTCTGATAAAGAATAAATTTAATTTTGAAGATTTATTAAAAATATCTAAACATGACTAGTGTGAAATCTCTTATATATGTATACACATCAAATTATGGTAATAATATAAAATGTTATGGTTACATGCAAGAACAATTGATACACAACAATTCCAAAAATATATAAAACTTGAGTGACTAACAAGTAATGATGGAAAATAACTTGGTTCGTTTTAAAAGGTATTAAGGCTTTTAAAAGGTTCCACAAAAATGTATATAAAATGTTTTATAAATTTTTTTTAAATTATAAAAATTTTGACCCCGAGAAAATTGTTATGCAAAAAAACGAAACCTACACAATCGTGGCCCACTTTTCCCTTACTTTTCTCTTAGTACTGCGTAGTTACATAAAGCAAACTTTACCATAACAATTTTGAAATGTTTGAAGTTTTATTTAACCATGAAAAAGGTGATATATATCTTCATACTAATGAGCTAGTTTCCTTGACTAATTAGCCAGCATCACTAGAGTTAACGACTTATCAACTAATCAGCATAGCATATTTCACTTGGATTAGTTAGAAACCAATGAGCTTGCATCACAAGTGTGATAATGAGTCGGGTTGGTTAGAGTTAATGACGAATACTCAAGCATCAATAGAGTTCAAGACTAATTTCTTCCATCACAATGAGCTTGCATCATAAGGACTTATGCACAAGCAGCTCAAGAATAAGTGACTAATGAACAAGTACCACTCGAATTAGTGACTAAGGAACAAGCAGCACTCGAGTAAGTGATTTATGAACAAGAAGCACTAGAGTTTAAAAAATAACCCCACCGCCGCCTTAAACAAAAATATAAATCAATTGAAAGAATTTAAATCCAAAATATTAATAGTTTGTGGTACCTGTGTGCGTCCAGCATCTCTGACAATACTCCAAGTAATGCCTGTTTCCCGCGCTTTTCCAGCTAAAACCTCCATTTTAATTTCGGAAATTCTAATTACCTACTTAAGTCGGGAACGATTGGCGAGGAAAGATTACAATTTTAACTAATTTTTGTTACATGTGTAGCTTATAAATGACATAAAAATTGCTTATTTATTGTTTTGTAAAATTTTTATAAAAATTGGCTTATAAAAATCAAGTTCTGGTCGTTAAATCGGCGGAATAAGGAGAAATATAAAATTAGTTTCCTAATTCCAATAGAGATTCTTCACTGTCAGTTTTCAAGCAAACCTTAAAAAGTTGGTTGTTTTTACGTATGAAATAAAATGTGTAGTAAAATCGTTAGATTTTTATTATTTTGATTAAGAGAAAGTCTCTTAGTACTTGTCAGTAATTATTTACTACCAGCTTGAAAACACAGCTTTCCTGAGGTATGAATGATTGGACACACACACACACACACAACAAGAGATTATGTACAGATAAAAAATGCTTGAAGGAACGATTTTTGTAAATAAAATACCGAGAATTTAAAAACACACATACGTAACTTCAATATAAACATTAGAAAAAATTCATTTCATGGGGTATAAGTTATAAATGGTACAAAATTGCGATATAATCTCTCTAGTTCTCATCTACCTTAGCTTGGCCAGTCCGCTCCCAGCTAGCAAGCGCGTCAGGATGTGATTTCAACGCTTTCTTGTAGCAAGCAAGAGCTGCGTGCGCGCATTGGGCGGCTGCTTTTCCCTTCTGCATCCCAAGATCTGTGCGCACAACAAGCACCATTTTAGAGTTTCCTGCTAAAAAAGTTAATCTTAAAAATAGAAAAGTTAAACTCTGTTGTTTCAGTTAGACTGAATAGAATATTTGAAGAACAAAATAGCTTTATATTTATTATTTATGATAATACATGACTGCAAAATGTAATGCATTTAATCCCAAAAAAAACCAGATAATTAAGATTAGTTACATGTTTATCGAGGGCGGATTTCTAAAAAAATAAATACCCCTAATGCAGAGTCCTGCTCTTAAAAAATATTTACTATACAAATATTTCAAGTTTCAAAATTAAGCACTTATTTCTTAAATTTCTACAAAAAGAGACAATAATTATAATATTAACAAAATATTCCTGAATCTATAGTATCTTATCGTTAACAAATAATTTATCAGACCCCCCCCCCCCCCCCCCCCCCCCCCCCCCCCCGCCCAATCTCATCCTCTATTTTACTTCACAAGAACCTGTGAATGATGAAAATGAAGGCATAGATATACTTCTGACTTCACGAGGCATAAACCTAAACATAAACCATTCTAATTCATGGTGAAACATTACCTTACTTCACCTTACTTCACCAAGCGAACGGCAAACTCGTAATATCTCATTCAATCTACCTTTTAACAGCTTTTCATTGTAAATTTTGTTCATTAAAATATGAATTTGTGAATTCCTCACAATTTAAAGCTACTTCAGAAACAATTAAAATCCAAATAATTTTTTTTTTGTGAGCAATTTAATGAATACTTTATAAAATCATTATAAATTAGGTCATATATTCCTTGTACAGAGAAAAAAAAACACAGAAAAAATTATTTTCAAGGGGGGGGATTTATATAGAACCCCTGTATACCTGAAAACAAAGTTGACCGCTAACCCACAAAGCATTCCAGCCACAAGGGTATAACTGGGGTCAGTTAAATAAGTCCACCAGCCCTCCTCTACACTAATTAATGAACCACTCAATCAGCATTCAAGCATTCAAGCATTCAAGCATTCAAGCATTCAAGCATTCAAGCATTCAAGCATTTAAGAATTCAAGCATTCAAGCATTCAATGGACAATGCAGAAGAAAGAATGAAAAACATTATATCAATCAATCAATCAATCAATCAATCAATCAAAAATCAATCAAAAATCAATCAAAAATCAATCAATAACCAACCTAAAAACAAACAAACCAACTAGCCAATCGATCCAAACCAATCATTTAAGTGTTAACGTCATCCTTTTGATGTCTCAGAGATCAATCCTGATTCAGAAAATAAATCTGGCAAGAAAAATCTATTTTGGAAACCTGATAAATAGATCCTGATCCGATTTGAATCCAGATTGGTGACAATTTTAATGACCCTAAGCACAACTTGGAAACAGAACAAGCAAATGTGCAAATGATACAAATGTGACACAATTTTCTAAAAACTTACGAGGCTGTCTCTTCAAGGATGGTTGTGGAAGTTGTTAAATCCATTATTTTTCTATTTTCTGCTTTTTCATCATGCAGGCTTGAAACTCCTGATAATATGGTTAACTCAGGGGCAAAATTTAATAAATTAGTATTTGAACCACTTCATTACAACTCTTAAACCGGCCACTCAAGCGACTTGAGTTCAACATGAATTTTAATGATATAATTAATATTAGGGTTGGCATGAAAAAAACCCAGCCCAAAAAAACCAATAACCCACTATAAAAAACCCATGTGTAGTCTGTAATTTTTTTGGGGGTTTTATTGTTTTTTTTTAAAGATGAATTTTTATAATTATTGCCCTTTTATCACTCTTATAATGATAAACTCTTTAAAAACTAAGGTCTACTCTCAACTATATTGATTTTTAGGGAGTTTACAGCAATAAAACGGACACATTTATTCTTTCTTATGAGTTTTCAAAATATGTTGAGATAGAATAAGGATATAAAATCCCTTTATCATTCTAATGTGAGAGTGATCTGCAGTTTTTTGTATTTAACAGCGGTCTTCCTTCTTAAGCATATACATATCTACAGATTACTCTGAGTAGTCTGAAATTCAAAGAACTAAAATATAAAAAAATTGCAGTATTCCCCCTATAAAGAAGGAGGTGATATTACTGTATTTGAAGAGTATTTACTATGATAGCCTATTATCAAACAATATTATTATTTTTCATAACTATAAAGTTCGCCTATTACTTAAATAGTCTTATTATTATGAATTAGTAAGAATTTTAGTAGTTTCTGACTAATTTTAAATTGAAAAACTCAACAACAAAAACCAAAAAACCCAATGAAACCCACTGGGCTGGGTTTTTGGTGTTGTCGAAAAACCCATTTTTTAAACCTTGATTAAAATATCATCTCAAGCGATCTAAAATACAAATACGTAATACTCAGTGTCAGATTTGGAACATTAAAACAGATTGGAAGTTCAGTCCCCTGAAATATGAGTAGGACAGAGATTCAACATCTTGTAAACAAATGTACAAAGTCAACACGTGGAGAAATTATTCAATCAGATTACTTAACAAATCAGTGCTTAGGTCAAGATTTTGGCTTCCTGGATCCGGATCCCCAAAAATATGCGGATCCAACGGATCCAGATGCAAGGGGTAAAATATCAACCAAAAACTGCAAAAAATAATAATTTTACTCTCCAAACCCAAATCTGAACTATTGGAAAAAGAGAGATGATACAAATTTCCTGATTTCTGAATGGTTCATCAAATTTTAGCATAAAAAATAAGACTTTTTGTTAAAAAAAAATTCAGTAAATCTTAAAGAAATGACCTGGATAAGGTTTCATTTTTTTCCAGTGCGGATCCAGGATCCGGATCCGCATCAAAATTAAATGGATCCTAAGCACTGTTAACAATACTTAAATCGCTTAGCTTTAAAATGAAGAAGAAAAGAAACAAGGGGGAAAGGTGAAAGGTAAAAAGGGAAGAAGGTGGAAGAGGGAGGGAAAACAGGTGAAAGAAGAGGGAATTTATCACGGAGGACCTGGTTATTAATCTCCTAACTAACTTACTAACCCCTGATATATTCTGAGAAAATTACTAAACCTTAAGCAAAGCTTGACACTTCCGCCAATCTTGAAATTCTACCATACACTCTTGAACCCTAAACAGGAATCATAATCAAGGAAAATTTTATAAAAAAAATCTTAAATCTTTAACATTGTCACATAAACCATTTTAAAAAAAGTAACAAAATTGTTATTTTTAGAACAATTTTTTGTGACAAAAAGATTTCCCACTTAATATTGAGAGGGATGATTCTTTCACAGAGCTTGAGCCAAGTAGAACGTCTTGGAATCATGATCAAATAATCTTAACAAGGATTATGTTTGTGAATAGATTAAAAGAATTTCTTCTATACATTTTTATGACGAGTTAAACAAGTAATAATTTAATTCTCTTTTACATGCAGTGGCGGCGCAACTTTATTGAATGTATAATATTAAAGAAAGATGTCTGTCCTATTCGCCCCCCCCCATGTATTTCTTCAGGGGTGTATAATTTCGCGAAAAATTATTGTTCTTACTTTTTTGAAAGTACAGGTTTCCAAAAGAAAAGAGAAAAATATGCAAAATTATGCACAAATAGACAACATTGATCATTACTCATTACATAACATATTTATCATTTCAGTTATTACGTAATCATCGAATCCTTCAACATATAACACACATCTGCTAGCTAACATAGTTATTACATGTAAACATTGTGAAATACTTTCAATCAAGTACCTATGCGTATCTCTATGTACATTAAAAAGAATTCTAATCGCAGTATTCCATGCTGTATACAATTTTGAAACACATGGGGATGGCATTACGGAGGCAGAAAGAGATTTAAATCTTACCGAGATAAAGTTTGCCCTCATTCTCATAGCAATACTTTAGTCTGTCCATATTTTATTTCCTAATATGGCCTTATACAGTGTTATCTTCCAGAATTAGAAACTTTAAAAACACATAATATTCGAAGGAAGAGGATTTGAAGGTGGCTCGGACGAGAGTATGAGGAAAATGTGCCTTGGACGAGAAATTTTTTGTGGCTGGTCTTCCTCCCCTCATTGACGCGTACAAGTCAGTAGGTCGGGTCCAAGAAGCTCAAAACCGCAAAGTTCATGTAAAAATTCACAACGGACTTAGGAAATAAATATTGTATTTTCATAATTACTGAGACTAAGTACTATCCAGTAGCCATGTTTCTTTCCGTAACCACTTGACCCCCTGTGCAGACAAAAAATGAGCACAACCCCAAAATCTCCGTCTCAATTAATGTATTAACTCGAATTATACAGCTGTATGATTAGTAAATCCCTTTCGCGCTTGCATTAGCAGGGCGGTCCGCGTCAATGATGCATCTTTATCTATCTGCTCTGTGACCACAACTAGCCTTTTGAAGGGATTCATAATAACTCCGATTTCGGACAACCCAATTACCTGTAGGTTTCTTTTATGGGGGGACACTATTGGAACTTCGGACATATTTGATCAGGTGAACAGCTGTTTTACTCCCATTCTTAGTGGAAATTCTGAAATAATTAAATATTATGACATTTTTCTGAGATAAATTATCAGATCATTAGTATACGTTTTTTAATGTTAGTTGTTTAATATCCAATTTTTAAAGCAAATTAGATGGATACTCAATACTCTTACTCAATTATCCAACGAAACCAACTAAGAGTTTAGATTATAAGTTCATCCAAATGATTTACTGGAAACTTTTGATCTTTTCAAATCGTCAGCCGTAATCAAATATCGCTAGACAATAACTCGACAAACTAAGAATATGTAATAAATAATGTAACTGCTGCGCCGCTCGGCCCAGAAATTCATTAACCCTCACCTAAACTATATCCGTAATTTGTGCCATTGTCGCAAGTTTACCTTATCGTAGTTAAACACAAAATCAGAAAAACGATTAGCCAATAAAATACTGCGGTAGAATTTTCATATAACTTTATTAAAGACATATCTCTAGTTGATCATAAAAATGTTCAAAATTAAAATTTATGAGATCATAACTTTTGTATTAAATCTGTTTATAACACGCCCCTCGACACCTTCTATGAATCATATTCTTCAATTACAAAGTTATCAATGGATATTCAATTCGGCCGATGTGCCCAAGCGGTATCCCGTTTCTATCTCAATAATAAAAAAGAAGTAAAATTCTACTGGATTCAATTTCTACTTAAGAAGAAATTCTGATATTTTTAAAATCCAAATCCTCTTCACTTTTAAATTGGATTATACATTCTATAAACCTACTCCTGTACTTTATCAGAGGCATTTAATAATAATAATAATAATATAAATGCAACTTGAATGATAAATCATTATTAAATACAAATTAGAACATATACATATATATTTATAGGTACTGGACATGACTAGATAAACATAACATTAACGATAAACAAAGAGTATTACCGATATACGAAATATATAAAGACTGAAAAATATAACAGTATTACAAAAACGAGAGGGAAGGCCACAACACCCGTTTCTTAGTATCTACAACTAAACTTAACATTTCTAGTTTTCTAGATATTTTTTCCAGATGTTTTCTTATTAATAAAAATACTATGCAAAAAAAAATTCAGTGAATTGTTTGATGCGGCGCGGACGAAAAACAGGTGTGGTATGCCTTCCCTCCCTCAGTGAACAAAGTAAATAAAATCACAGGATGACACTAAGGGGATGATATACATAATTTAAACTAGAACCAACAAGGAATTTTTTTTTCAGGCAATATTCTATTTACAATTATCTAAATTAGATTGAGATCATGAGAGAATAACAATGAATTGTTAAATGCTGTGCTGATTACTTGATCCACATTGTCAGTTCGGATTTTATGAAATGTTAACCCGATTTAAGTAAACATTAATTCGCCACTTTTTAAGACTAACGGATCAGAGCTGAAAACTTTAGAATTTTGGACATCGAGATTAATGCTTGATCTCCTCTTTTTCTTAATCTCGAGATTAAATAATGCTTGTTCTCCTCTTGTTGTTAATCTCCAGATTAATTAACCGACCGTGATTAAGGATATCCTATTCTAAAGTTTTCAGCTCAGATCAACACCATATTGGATATCTCAACAGGTCCATCTGCTACCTTACACACACCAGAAGTTTAACGCGGAGGATGAAGAGCAAAGGGACTGAAAGTGTAATTTTACATTCCATGCCAAAATGTCAATGTCAGAATTACATTAGTACTCCTAAAAGCTTTGCATTAGATATCTATTTAAAGAAGACATTTCGAAAAATGCTTCAACTCAGAATTTCTTCTGGAAAATTTGGCAGTTTAAGTTTTCCTCCCCTCGAGCATCCTTGAAATCATCTCTGGATGTTACGGTAGACCGAAACACCTCTTATCATTCCACAGAACTCTTCAGCATTTAATTTTATAACTTTGTAAAAGATAATAATTTTTCCAAAGAAAAACCCCCTTAATTGTAAAATGTTTTTAACGCTTGGAACTGGTTTCTGCTGGAGTAAGCTTATCGATATTATTAATTTTGAAAACTGATTTTTTTTCTTTAAAAGTGACTTCCACCTAAAAAAACAACAATATCTTCCACATTATTAATCAGATAAATATTTCAAGGGCGCCGATGTGAATCGGTCATTGCCATCTTTCGCCTCGAATATTGAATTAAAACTTAGTGAATTAACACTAACTCATTCAAAAGCTCCAAAATCATGTGAAATCTGGAAAAATTATCTTCAGCACTAGATAATAGGAGACCTAGTTTTTAATTTTTTTTCCTAGTTTTGTTTCAGAATATTGTGGGTCTCTCTCTCTGTTCTTTCCTTCTCTGTCTCCTTCCGTTCCTCTCTACCTTAGCTTCCCTGCGCGTTGTACAGGTAGCCCGTGTTCATACATGTTCCTTTATAAAGCACACAAATCCAAAACTATTTCTCTTGACAGGTAAATGTAAATCTTGAAAATTGAACAGCAAACCAAGGTTGAAAATTTATATGATGTAAAAAAAATAGCATTCGAGACAAAACTAGGAAATCCAGATTTAAATTTTTTTTAATCAAAAATAAATAATTTTTCTGTCTGACCTGCGGGGTTGCAGACTAGCAATCGCTGAAGAAGATCCCGACCTCGTGTGGGTAGTTTAGGAACAACCTAATAAAGCACTCAATAACTCAATCAATTCCGTTCTAAGTCAATTAATTTATCTACTTGTCAATAAATAGAAATATCAATTTTTGAAACTTTAGATGAACTTAACTATATTTATCATTTAATCAATCAATCAATCTACTAATCAATCAACTAATCAATCAATCAACTAATCAATCAATCAATTAATCTACTTGTCATCAATCAACATACCAACTATTGAAACTTTAGATGAACTTAACTATATTTATCAATTAATAAATCAATTTAAATCAATTAATCAATCAATTTAAATCAATTAATCAATCAATTTTAATCAATTAATCAATCAATTAATCAATCGATTGATAAATCAATTAATCAATCAATAAATCAAGTATTAATTCATTCAATCATTCAATCAATCAATCAATCAATCAATCAATCAATCAATCAATTTATCAATCAATCAAACTAACCAAACATCAAATCAACCAACTCTCTAAACCATTTATCATTCCTACCAGTTAAGCAATAAATCAAATCAAACCAAACACTAATTGTAAAAATCGATTTTAAAGATAAAAATTGTAATATTAATGAAATGATAACTGACCTGGTGAAGTGTAAGTGAAGGGTTGTATAAAGGAAAGGGTTTATAATCTGGTAAACTACACATTCCCGGCCATACTTCTTCAGTAGGCGTTCCCAGCAGTTTAAACACCCTGTACAGTAGAAAAAACTGAATTTATGTACAGTAGAAAACAATTTTAAGCATATGCTACAGTTACTTTAAACTCTGTACAGTAGAAAATAAATTTAAGCCTAATATCGTGCACCATTCTCATTAGATAAGAAAATACGAATAATTTAGTCAATATTTGACGAGGGGGTGATGGGTATGGCGGGATTTTACCTTTTTATTTGATCGTCTACATCACTACCAGGAAATAGAGGTCGACCGGCGTTCGCAAGTTCAGCGAAAATACATCCCGCGGACCACATGTCAATACTATAATAGAAAATTAGAAATAACTTGGGTTAAAGAGTGAAATTTAAGATTCGAACGATACATTTTTTGGTTTGCAATAATTAAAGGAAAAATAGATCAATCTACATAACGTATTGATATTTCTCAGCTAATCCCCAATAATGTAGTAAAGGCTAATTACTATGGTTATAAGCTTGCAAAAAAAAGCATCGAGCCTGCTTATACCAATAGGGTACAAACAGTGGCGTATACAGGAACTTATCCAGAGGGGGTGGGGGGCTCAGACTCCGTTGGGGTCTGAATCCTTCTCTTAAAGGGGAGGAGGCTATAGCCCCTCTTGTATATGCCTCGGGATACAAATAAAAGCAGAACCATTTAACATTAACAATAACAGGATTTTTTAACAACTAGAATTAGGAAAATTAGAAACAAAATGGATTAATCGTAAAAGATTCATGAGAGCCCAAGGACGTATGGGATATCCACACACAAAATATGCCTTAGCAGCCCTTTATACCTACAGTATTATTTTACTTAGGTTGGAACTTTGTGGGGACTGCGGAGGTATCGTTTGAATGCTTGATCTCGATATCTTATGTTGGCGAACTTTTAAATTTTAGGATCAATGCTAATTAACCCTGTAGGGTTTGATCAACATGGGATATCGACGAGGAAATAAGTTAAAAAGTATGTCTGCATAAATGCATAAATGCTTAATCCAGATATGCACGACACCTAAGTTCTGATCTCTTATATTAAATATCTCCTGTGGACGCTTTTGATTTCTGCTTAATCCGCTCTTTTTCTTCCTTTTTTATATCACAGTTTGTTCCGACCAATGAGAGATCTGTCACTGATTGCACGCCAGAATTTAAAAAAAGTCTCGGCTTCTGATTGGCTGTTTAGGTTGGTTGAGATTCAATTAATCTTGAGATTGATAAAAAGATTGATTTCCAAAATTATTAATTTTTCTGCTCTGTTATGTTAACTGACCTAGGAGTGTATAGTTTAGCTCCAAAAAGTACATCAGGAGGTCTGTACCAGAGGGTTACTACTTCAGCACTAAATTAAAATAAATTTTTACAATTTTTTACATGTTTTACATATTTACATTTTATTTATAGTAAAATCTGGGAAGTTTGACCAATTAAAAACAGAATTTATATTTTTATGGACTTCATTTGACTCGGCTTGTTACGGGGTGGGGGCTTTAAATAAGGGATATTTAGCATACAACAATGTATAATATATTTAATGTATTACGGATAAGTGAGTTTTATAGAATGGAAACTAAAAAAGAAAATTACAAGGTGACCCATTGGGGAAAAAACGCAAACATTTTTTTTTATAAATAGACAGACAGATAGATAGACAGATAAATAGACAGAGAAACAGATAGACACATACACATATAGATAAACAGAGAGACAGATAGGATATATAAACAGATAGATAAAAAGATAGATAAACTGACATGCAGAAAGATATACAGATGAATAGACATATAGCTAGACATAAAGCTAGACATATAGCAGACAGATAGCTAGACAGATAGCTAGACAGATAGCTAGACAGATAGACAGATAGATAAACACATTCTCAAATGAACACTTCTGGAACATATTCTCAAATGAACACTTCTGGGATCTCGAAAATTATGAATGAATTTTTGTTGTCAATTGAAACGTTGATCAATCTACTATTATTTAGAATGCAGAAAATAAGTTAAACTAACTTCATTTTGACGAGATTTTTTTTTGAAATTTTCATGAAAAACTTGCTGAAATGAGTGAAAATTAAAAAAAAACCGGTGTATTTCCAGGATAAAAATCCGCACAATCCGTACAATTTGAAAAAAAATCCGTACATTCCGTACAATTTTAGGGTTACAAAATAAAAAATCCGTACAATCCGTACATTTTGGCCACCCTGCGTTTTTAGCTGGAATGAGATCTTTTAAATCAAATCCCGTAAAAAATGATTTATTTTTTATCAAAATTCGAAATATTTTCCAAATTATAAAATCCATTTGTTTTTAACCTCTAAAGCGATGTAACACAAAAAAGAAAATCTTTGAAAAGTATGAAATCTGTGAAAAGATTATACAAATCCGTTTGCGCAATGCAATAGAGAAATTTTATATTTCCTGAGATTTCATAAACTAAAACTTATAAAAATTTACTCAGTTACATTTTCCTCGGATCATGAATAAATATTCTATCAATGTTTCTTTTGAATAAAATAATGTTCTTTCAATTGAGGTTTCCCAATAATAGTGAGTTACAGAATTCTTACACTAACAGTGAAGAAAATTGAAAATTAAAAATTGTCTTCCACAGTATTATTCAGACAACGATTAAAAGAGAACCATTGTGAATCAGACATGTCCCTAAAATGAAGGGTCATTTGAAATTACGTATACAGTCCCTTTAATGAAGTTATTACGTATACTGTCCCTTTAATGAAGTTTTAGTAACTCACCTGAGGAGTTGGTACATTAATGATTTGACAACATCAGCATCAATTTCACCGTTTAAAGAATCAAAATATTTCTTCAGATCCTGAATATAGATAACATCATAAAAACTTGAAATCTTTTATTTCAACAAACTACTGAGTACCGCCAATTTGCCCGTTTTTTCAATATTAAAAAAGTTTTCATCCCCTGGAAAATTATTTTTGTTAAAACCCCTTCTAACAGATGCGGTGTTCTCATTTAATTTCTTTTAATTTTCTTTTTCTTTTCTGTTTATTAAAATTTAAATTACTTTCCCATTTCACAGTGTAGTCACTAAAGGGGACTTATTCTGATCAAAATTATAGTTTTTAATAATTTCCACTTGGACCTATCTGTTCCCCGAGGGAAGGGAACAAATATAAGATAAACACTGTTAACTGTTCAGTGCAAGGCAACAAAAATAGTGAAATTTTTGTAACCTTCCTTATTTTATTTAATGAATTTTAAGAAATTTCCTTTTGGCATTTAAAACACATTGCACTTATAATTTGCAATAAATAAATAAAAAAAGACGACAATTATTTCACAATATTCTGGTTAATACCATTTTCCATCTCAGTTCTGCAGTTAATTCATAAATCTTTGTAAAAAAGCTTTATATTTCATTTATATATATTTGTACGTATGTTAATTATAGCTGGATAAACGGCTGAACTAAATTGGCTGAAATTTTTTGAGGGAGTCCATGGTTACTGGGGGGTAAAATAGGCTTAAAAAATTTCGAAATTTTTTCCTTCAAAATTTAAATTTTTTACTTTAAAATTGGATTTTTTCCAGTGTTTTAAAATTCCACGAGCAACGCCGGGCACTTCAGTTAGTAAGTCAATATACCTGATCACAATGCTCGAAGACTAAAGTTAGTTTTCGCTCAGAATGTAGAACATCGTAGAGAGCAACAATATTCTTGTGTTTCAACTCCTGAAAAGGTTAGATGTGAATTTTACTTTCTACAAATGAAAATGATGATAATGATGAAATTGACAGTTGACAGTTGACAGTTGACAATTGACAATTGAGTGTTGACAGTTGACAATTGACAATTGACAATGATAATGATAAAACTAATATTTCTATAATTAATAATAAATAAAAAAAAGTACTTTTAAAAGTGTTTTAAATGTTTTAAATTTTGTGCTCATAGAACAACTTATAGGTTAACTGAAAAAAGACCGATTGAATCAAAAATCCAGATGGACATACAATAATTTGGTTGTTACTCGTTTTTAAAGACGATCGAAAGAACGAACGTGTTTAGTTGCGTTTTAGGAGCTGTTTGGTTCGTTTTGGTTCGAATCACTCGTTTTTAACTTTTAAATTGAAAAAAAAAAGTTTTTTTTAACGATAGTTTTTCAAAACGTGAAAACAATCCATACATACAAGGCGCATTTACGCTAGATAACTTGTCAATGAAGATATAATTTAAAATTAAGACTAATAAATTCAAAATTGAGACGACTCCCAGCAAACAGTAACAGTTGACATTGAATACCAGATAGTATGTGAAAGCAAAACATAACTGAAAAAAATGTCTAACAGTTGATGAGGAAAAATTACTGAATATCAAAAATTATCAAAAATACTTAACTTAGTAAACTTTTTCCCAATAAGTGTCATTATTATTGATATAATAAGTTATACCTTGAGTAAACATATTTCTCTGAGGGCGGAGGAAGGAACCCCTTCATCATCATCATCTGTAGATATTTATATATAATTATTAATTATGTATCTGTAGAGGATTAGATTTTTAGATTTTTTATTTAACTTTTTATTACAGGCCCGGGATTGTACAGTTTACACAACAACAGTTTCTTAACCAATAATAATTTGGCTACGTAGTAAATCCAATGTGGATGTGTAAAACAACAATAAATAATAAATCTTCAAATAAAGGATACTTAAGATTATGTAAAGATTTCCTCGGGAGTATAAATTATTTTATTTTTAAAGTGGGGGAAATGATGTTGATGCAAAAATGTATTTATTTTCCTAAAGAAAAATGATTTATTCAAGAAATACACCCCTGGCTGGATTCTCTTAATCAGGCTTGATATCTACTCAAATAATTACTCTACCTAGTCTGACCCTCTTCAGTGCAACTATTTCTCCAGTTTCTCGATTTTTGGCCTAAACATTCGTTTAATTATTTTAACTGAATCCAAGCATTAATTTATTAGCGTCAACATCCACAAGACTGTTACAATAATAGCAATGGTTCAAATAAAGAAAGAACAAAAACAATGACCATGTTGATATCAAAACGATAATGATAAATATCCATCAGAAATTCAAAATTGTAGCAATAACGATAATGGCAATGATGAAAACATAATTTTGTAAAATCTAGATTTAACATAAAGAACAGCGAGGAAGGGGATGAAGGGCCGACGTGAGCCCCGCGAAATGATCTCCGGAGCCTCCTGATACGCAGATTGAACTCTAAGTCCAGCGAAAACGTCGCCGCGCTTCTCGCTATGTCTCTCAGCCTCCGCCATTCCGTCTCCACGCCCTGCATTTTAGTCTCCAATGAAAAGTATTTGGCTTTCACATCCACCAAAAACTTTATATTTCAAACATTCTCAACATTTAAAAAAAGTTTTTTTTTATGATACATAAAATATTTGAATTAAGAAGTCTATTTTAATTGAGATAAAGACATATATTTTTTGTTTTCTATATTTCACAACTTATAAAGAACTATTGCAGTATAACATTAACATAGACAAATTTTATATTATTCTACAGATGTATTATGAAAGAATCAAACTTTATGAGCACAAATTCACAAAACACATATGTAAGTTTTTGTTAAATACTTGAATGTAAGTTATTATCATATGCAAGTGTTAACTATTCACAAGAAGACAAGTTTTTATCAATTGAATAATTTACTATTTGAAATTTGTGGTTTTAAACGATTCTTTCAACTATTGTGGATTTCACTAAGGAGACTAAATGAAGAGATATACAGGATGTCCCAAAAAGCATGGGAATTCAGTGACGAATTCGATATCGTCTTTGTCATGAATAAGCATTGTAATACCTAATTTAAAAAGCCATAATATTATTATGTCTGCCAGAGTTTATTTTATGAAAAGGGATAAAAGACTGTAAAGATGTGTCAATAATGTCTCCGCAAGATGAACAAGTTTACTCTGTTTGTATACTTCAATTTTCTTGTTTTACTAAGTACAACCGTATGTAGTCAAAACATAAACAAACAAAATGTGAACATAGCAGACGAAACTCTTACAGATTACAGCTTTCTCAGTTGGCATCACTATACTAAATCAAAGAATTATTTAAAAAGACGATATCGAATTCGTCACTGAATTCCCATGTTTATTGGGACACCCTGTATTTAGATTTGATGTTGGTTAAGCCATAAAAAGGTTAAACAAAAAATAAGAATTAATAGCAAGCGGAGTTTTAAATAAGGGCGTGCAGACAGAGTGACAGAGGCTAGCTTGGAGATGTAGCGAGAGGCACGGAAATGGTTTCGCAGGGCTTGTAGGCCATTCAACGTAACAGAAGGCTTCGGAGGTCATTTCACGAGACTCTGCACCCCCTCCCACGAACATCATGTACCTTGAAAACTGTACCATAAGTTCCCTCTCCGATTTTTTCCAGTTTCTCATATTTTTGCATTTCTCTGAAAAAATTTGACCAAGCGGTAAAAAACCTGCCACCAATTTCGCAAGGCTGGGATGTTTGCAAATACGTTTCTGCAAATGCATGATGAAATAAAGGAACATATCCTTGATCAAGAAAGCATCCTGACATCTGATGTTGAAATGCATGGTTGCAGGGACATGATGCACTTTCATCTATATACAGGGTGACTCATAACACCTTATAAAGTTTTCGAGAAAAGACTTTCTTTGCATTGGCATTCTTATGAATATTTTGTTTTAATTTTCTTGAATATTATTAAAGTTTTGGCTAAAGAAATATCTGATTTCCGAATTGTAGATGAGTCAGCCTTTCCTTTACTCTTCATCCTTGTCCTCCTTTTCATCCTTGTCCTCCTTGTCCTCCTTTTCATCATCATCCTCATCATCACTCCCTTCTACATCCTTGTTTCCTCCCATACCAACCTGAAGAATTCAAACATTCTTTAGGTTGTTGAAAGGAACGAACACTTTCCTGACTCTTATTTTTGATCCATAAATCCTTTCAACCCGATGGTGTAAACCTTTGATAATTCCACTTTCTATATTTCATCTGGCAGAATTAATTTTTCAAAAGAAGTTCTACGACATTAGATTGCCAGATATAAGGATAATTAGAGTTTTTGCGATTCATTTAATTTTCTAATATTTAGATTCCTCCAAATGTTAATTTATTTATTCATTATTGAATCCTTAATTTTTAGATAAAACATCAAAGGCATCCAAAGAACACTGCTCATTTTCGAAATGGCGTTTAAGGGTAAAACATTTTTCTACAATCATTTTAAACCAAAATAGAATTCTTAGATAAACTTTAAGACAAGTGAAAAAAATGAAATGTATAAGTGAAAAGTATAAAAAGGATGTTGATATTAATCAAATTGTCTTGAAACTCCCGAGCTCATATCAGTTTACAGAATTAAATTAAGTTGTGAGGATACCCCCATTTTCCCTACAAACTGTACTTAGTACCAAAGGCTTTTCATCCCGGATAAAATACAAAACAATGCTTCAAAAACTCCGTAAGTTTTTGTGATCTCTAAATCGTTTTTAACAAATACATGGTTAAATGTTAAAAGAAAAATAGAATTTAAAAGATTATTATAAATAATATTATAAAAGATATTCCAATTAAAACATGATTCATAAGTGGGTATACTTTTCTTTATATGTCCGATCATAACTCGTGAACTCCTTTACCGATTGCCTCAATTTTGATTGGGAAACTCGGTAGAACCACAAGAATGTTGTAAGCTTGGTTTAAAAATTCAAAGTTGAGTAGGTAGACTTTGAGAGGGATAGCTTATTAAGTGGGTTTAAAAGAGAAAAGAATGAACAAGAGAACTAGAG